GGGAACATTAGCTCCCCGTAACACCCAATCGTAGCCGATGTTCCACAAGAGGGGGCCTAGGACAGACCCCTGTGGAACACCGCATGACATCGCCTTATAGACCCAACGGCCCCCCTGCGTGGGGTATACTATTTTGCGGCCCACAAAATAGTCCGCCACTACGACCTGCAGGTACTCGGGCACCCCGTGCCACCTCAGGCCTGCAAGTATTGTCTCCCAGGGAAGTGTGTTGAAGGCGTTGGAGATGTCTAGCGATACCGCTAGCAACACCCCACCCTGAGACACAGCCTCCTCAGCGAGCGACCTGACACGCAGGATTGCGTCGACCGTCGACCGGCCCTCTCTGAAGCCGAACTGGGTCTCGTGCAGACTTCTGCTCATCGACTGGACGAGACGAGCCGCGAGCACTCGCTCAAAGAGCTTACCCGCCTCGTCCAGGAGCACAATCGGCCGATATGCCGACGGTAGGCCCTCGTCCCGGCCTGGTTTCCGTAGTAGGACCAGTTTCCCCACCTTCCAACAAGCCGGAAACCGGCCTCGGTCCAGGCACATGGAGAACACCTCACGTATCCATGCCTCCATTGCCTCAGACGCTATGTTCACCACCCGACCGGGAACTCCGTCCAAGCCCGGGGCGGTCCTCTTGCTCCGCAGCTTTGCACGCGCACGACACAGTTCCTCCTCGGATACCGCCGGACTACCGGACTCGTTTGGCGAGTTATCAGCCATAGCTGGAGGCGTCCAAGGCTCCCTTCGAGGAAACAACGCCTCCACCACCTCCTCCAGGAACTGTGGCTGAAGAGTGGTCGTGATCGGCTGGGTCCAAGGCCTGGATTTGGCCCTGATGACCTTGTAGGGCCGCCCCCACGGATCCCGATCCAGTGACTCTAGCCACTCGTTCCAGGCCGCCTCCTTGGCAGCGCTGATCCCCATCCGCAGAGCCTTGCGTGCAGCCCGGTACTCCTCGTATAGGACGTCCTCTCTCTGAACGTCCCGTACGCTCCTACGCCTGGCGCGGGCATGGCGACGGCGGGCGGTGACACACGCTCGACGCAAATCGCGGAGTTCGTCTCGCCACCAGTACACCCGGTGCCGTGGGGTGACCGGACGCGCTTTCGGCATCGAGGCTTCGCATATACGGACCAGCGCACCGCAGAACACGTCAACTTCGTGATCCAGGTTGTCGGACGATAACCTCCTGGACCACTCTTCCACGATGGCCGCTTCTTTGGCCAGGGAAATGTCCAGTTTTCCCAGCACCCATTTTCTTCCATCTCCAGTAGGGGAAGCTCCGACTTGTGACGTAGAAGACGCGGCCACCCTGAATCGGATATAGCGGTGATCCGACAGGGTTTCAGCGTCAACCACCACTGTCCAATCTGCGATACGGCGCGCCAGGGGGGCAGAGGCGAATGTGACGTCAACCACCGACCCTCCATTGTGACGTACACACGTCAACTCGCTTCCCCTGTTGAGGACCTCCAAACCGAGGCTTATAGCCCACTCCTCCAGTAAATTTCCCCGTGCGTTCGTCACCGCAGATCCCCACGCTCGAGATTTGGCGTTGAAATCCCCGGCGACTAGCACGGGGCAAGGGTGCACTCTGTTGACTAGAGCTCCCACCTCAACAAGAACTTGCTGAAAAGCAGTAAAGCCCTCGTTAGGGGAGCAGTACACCCCCACTACTGCAGTGCCGCCCACGCTAACCATCACATAACCTCGGCCCCTGGCTGTAAATATCAGAGGAGGGGCTCCGTTGACTCGCGATGCGACGATGGCCACTAGTCCCTCCGTATCCCCAACCCAGTCATCCCGAGGGGGCACGACGTATGGCTCAGCGACCACTGCGATCTGTGTTTGCCACTCCGCCATGGTCTGGACAAAAAGATCCTGGGCCCTGGCGCAGTGGTTTACGTTCGCTTGCAGTATTTCTAGATCCATGGATTAGGATGTATCCATGTCTCCTCTGCTGGAGGGCTTAGGGAGCCTTGCCCCCCCACTGCCCTTTTTCGCTGTCTGGGCTTTGAGGCAGCACCCTTCGGATCCGGCCACGTGTGTGGCTGGTTTTTCTAGTGCGGTACACGCCGCACAGTTCGGATCGTTTTTGCAATCCCGTGCGAAATGACCCGGCTGTCCGCAGTGATAGCAGTGGCCCCGGGGAACTCCCTGGGCGACCTTGCACATGGCCGCTAAGTGTCCGGTCGCCAGGCACCGGAAACATTTCCGAGCCACCGGTGCCATTGCTGAAATGCGAGCGGAACTCCATCCGACGATGATCCGGCCCGCGTCAACCACTTTTTTGGCGGCTGCCGCTGGGACTCCCAGCAGGATAGCGCCCGACGCTGAGAGGGAACCTGCAACGATAAGCTCGGCGGGGCAGCCGCCCACCTGAGCAACCGTTGCCACTACCTCAGCCTGAGTAACGGACTCGTCCAGACCAGCGACTCGGATTGAAGTGCGCATCACTGGGCGGTGGATCTTCACTGCCTCGGGATTCACTACCTCCCTGAGCTTTTCAGCGAAGAGGTCTGCCTTCGCAGCAGAGCCCTCCCCACCGATCTCAAATATCCGAGCCCCGGTCTGCGCTTTCCTCCATTTTAAGGGCCCAAGACCCAGCGCCTGGACATCTACGTGTTGGCGTGCCTCCCTCAGCACCGCCTCATAGGTGGCGTTTTCTCCTGCCTCCGGGAGGATGGTGATAGCGACCGCCGCAGTCTTCGGCGGTTTGATCTTCACCGTCTTCTTCTTGGGGGGTGGTGGCGCCGTTTTTGGTTTTGGGGCGCTCTTCTTTCTAACCACCTGGCTCCAAGACGGAGCTTTGTTCTTCTCCGGGGCTTCTGTTGACGGAGACGCGTCTGCGGGCTTTAGCGATGATCCCAGTGCAGCCTCAGTTGCGGCCATAGATGCCTTCTTGCGGACCTTCTTTGAATGGCCCTTTTCCCCCGCTACAGCCGGCAGTGCTGGAGCCAGAGGTCCAGGAGCCGTCGAGGTAGTGGCCGTCACCGCCGTCCTTCTTCCATCACTAGCTAGCGGAGGCCTGAGCCGGAGCTCTGGCACATTCGCACGGCCCAATGCTTCCACAACCTTACGGACAACTCTGTCTTCATCGAACTCCTGAGTAGAAGCTTTAACGCTTTGAACAAGTTGGGCAATCGTTGCGTCCATCTCCTCCAGACGCTTGCGTAGCTCAGCGTTCTCTTCTCGCAAGAGCTTGATCTCCTCATCCCGCTTTCCGCTTCCTCGCGTGGAGCAGGCCACTGCTTGGAGTCTCGCCTCTTTCTCTTGGGCCCTGGCCAGCTCTACTTTGGCACGGTGTAAGCCAACGTATTGGCCAGTAGAAGGAGGCCTTCCCCGCCCTCTTTTTGATTTGTGCGCCGCTCCTTTGATTGGGGCGACGCTCGCCTCAGTGGCCGTCTCTTCCGCCGTCTCGGGAGAGTTGAGCGCACTCCCGGCGGACCTTTTCCTCCACAGCCGACTGTCCGAAAGTGACTCCGCTGTCCGCACGCTACAGTCAGACATTTCCGAATCCGACAACCTCGGCACACGTACTCGGTAATCCTTTATTCCATAGCCTTTGTCCAACATGAAGCCACCCACAATCTTTGCGGGTGAAGCCCCATCACTGTCCATCTCAGTCACCACATCAACTCCGCCCGTCACAGACATCAAAGTCTAAAGTCAGTTGACCTTGGGCATATAACACAAACACAGTCAGAGCGTTTTTAAAACACGACACGACAGATAACCTTGAATGTTACGAACATTAGTCACGGACGCGACGCGATCGAACGACACGTCCGCCTTCGACGGCTGACGCGCAGCGACTCATATACAAAAATCTTAATAAATTACTGATTAGCTAATAAAGTTTTTAGTTCTGAAGATGATTATTTTTTGTTACAAGATGACTGTTTATTTCATTTTTTTAAGTTATCAAATAATTTTATATTTAAAAAATGAGCATTCATAAATAAACTAAAATATGTGTCTCAGACTGTTTGTTACGTTAAAACTGAAAAAAATATTTATTATTGCCAGCGCAAAGCATTTTTTTCAACGAAATAAATTAACTAAAAATAAGACAAAGAAGCGCCAGCAAATGAAGAATAAGACAGAATAGAACGCTCGAATATAAAAATATTTTTGAGTATGTTATGCTGTAATCAGTAATGTATTGTAAATTTTATACAAAACTATAACGTGTTGGAACACGTGACGTGATGTGACCGGTCGAGTATTACGCAGAGGTCGTCTGTGGTGTCTGAGTCTGAGTCGATGCACCGCCGGCCACCAAGCGGCCCATGTTCTAGCTCATAATAGTACCGATTATCGATCGCACGAGGGCGTAGCCCCCAACATTACCGGCCAATGTGACGTAGCCTGTTAATTTTATTATTCCAACGCACTTGTTAAACGACTACCATATTCGGAAAGAAAATAACGGGCACAAGTCGCTACGTAATAGTGTAAAAAACAATAGTATCGTTGGAATTCCTTTTACTACATGTACGATATTTTTAAATATAATTTATATTATGTTTCTCGTTGAAAATATATCATTTCCTTGATTTCAAAAAAAATCTATAAAGTCAATTATAATAGATTTCTCATTGTGTAACTTGGGAATGTTTAATTTATATAATAATGTTCTTTAATAGATACGGCACATTGAGTAACAAATCATTATAATTTATTTTACAGTATGTGTTTGCCTAAAAATTTATGTTTGTTTTCTTAAATCGTTCATTAGATATTTCGTAATTATTGATCCATTTATAGTGATGAACCCTGTGGGTTATGTAGGGGACGAACGACAAGGGTTTTCTGAATTCTGACCCCAAAAATATAAACAAAATACATACATATACATGTTTTCAAGTTGCTCGTTAATCGACATTCCGAGAGCATAAGAAAGTACAAAATAAATTCCGTCATTCGTTTACTATCAAATACCAATGAGGTCATTCGTCGATAATAAATATTGAAAAGTGTGTACTTACTAGAGCTACAACAGAGTCTATGGCGCGGTTGAAGCGATCGCATAAGGCCCTCATACTTTCGTATGAGTGGGTGTCGTAATCGCTTAAGATGTTTTTCTCCAATGCACCTTTCATCTCCGGCAGGTCGTCGCAGACCCATCTAAGTAAAAAAAAAACAATCTTACCATTTTTAGTTCAAGAGGACATAGAGAATGTTATAAGAAGTACAGGAAAGATGTATAATAGATGCTTTTATACCTTATTCAGCTGTTTGAGTTATTTAACCTTTATATGCTTAGTTGACAGGTGCTTAGAGACTGAATAATACGCATAGGTACTGAATAATACGCTATTACACCCGTCTGTTATTCAATGAACAAAATAACAAAAAAACTTTTTCAACGCTTACATTTATAAAGGAAATAAGAACAATTGGTATTTATTTATTAATATATGTACATTTGTCTTAAAACCCAATTCAAATATCTTTTTCGGCTTTATGTAAGTGTGACTTGCGCTCTGTGTTTAATTACTGAAAGTGTTATATTAATTACAATCACAATTAACGTATTTTTATAATGACACGTAATATCGTTCTAAAATATTAATTAAACAACAGTGCAATTAACTATCCGAGTCCAAACGACTATGATACAACGTGTTTATGAATAATACTGTAAATATGCTCTCTCAGAACGGGTTATATACATAAAAAATACGTTTTCATATAACAGATACAGGCTATAACTCAGTAGTTGCAAGGTCAATCCTGATTCGCAGTTTCAAGGTCACAAAGGAAGAGTGAACGCGTCCGGTCGAGAGGAGGCCGCGGCCGCCCTCGCCACCCCGACCGCACGAGCGCAGGGACCGAACGCGAACGGGTCAACTTGCCAAACTAGTTCTTTTATATCCGACCTGCATACAGGTGACTGAGCCTCATATTTGTGGACGGGACGGATTATTACTCTTTTTTTATACATTACCCTTTAATGAAAACGTACATATAAGAAGTTTGCTTCGCCGTGAGTTTATATGATAATTATGCAATTATCTATTTTTTTTTCGCTTCCGTCCTATCGTAACGGAATGTATTACGGCCGGTGACGTATATAGATATAAATATTTTTATATAATCGTCTTTATTTATCCACATGAATAATAAACTATTTAGTGATGATAGCGATCAAACACGTAAAAATTCTTTCGGGCGGTCATCGCCCCAGCGTCCTTCACGTTATGCGAACACTCACGCAACAGCTCCTTAATTATTAGAGCACATAGCATTGTCATTATTTATTATAAATGGAATGTAAAAATAAAATATTAAGCAAAAAAATATGCATATAATATTCACGATTATAATATACTTGCGTGTCGATAATTCACGTTGCAGTCACTAAGCAATAGATATTTCTCTTTTGTTATTAAGATACTGAGAAGTTTTTTGCTTTTTTATGCTACTTTTTTCTTCAGGGTAATTTAATTTATTAAAAATTGCTATCTTAAAAGCAAGACACCATTAATATTACATATCATACATTAACATATGAAATATATGTTAAAACAGTTAAAAATATATTATTTATATTTTTAGTTCCTTACCTTATTGTCTCTACTATTTCTAACGCTCCATCGTGTTTGTCCTGAAATCAATGATGCAATTTAAAAAATATTCATAAAAAAACCACACTGCGATATGAATTACTGATAGTATTGTATTATTTTTTATCAAAAATTTAAACCAGTATGGTAACTGTTTCATATATTACAGCATAGAATTGTTAAATATTATTCGTAGTTACATCATCTTGTTCATTAAACCAACAATAATTATATTATAATTCAGAGATAACTTTAAATGGTAAATTTATAAAATACATGCATGACCATAAAAAGTGATGACTTCAGTGACATTTGTGTGAAAAATTATTAAACAATAAAATTTATTCACATACACTTTATTTTAACATTTATCTGACATTAAAAACTATTGTAATTGTGGTAACACTATAAGAACTGTATTATTTTGCTCTTTATAATATTGTATTAAATGATAATATATTTTTAATTTCTTAGTTGGCATGTGTTACATTTTGTAAATGCAAGAAAACTATCATTACAAAAATTTCTCTAACTTTAGTTCATACACACACACACACACACACACACACACACACACACATAAATATATATATTTATATTTGTGTGTGAGTATTACTATAATAAAGTGTTAGATAATTGACAGTCAACAACAATTTTGGTATCTAAATTTATTTTTGTAATTATATAGAAATTTATCTAATGCCAAACCAACCCAAACTTTGCAAAATTTAGTTTCTGGGAAAAATATTCTTCAAAAGCAAGCAAAACAAAAAAAGATGAACAATGGAAAACAAACATGTCAAATGCAGTAACCTATTTTCAATTTAAAATAACTGCACTGTTGAAATCATTTTTTCAAATATTCATAAAAAAACTTCGTGTTCTGAACATATAATATGCTTAGTATCATTTACATTATAAATTGTTTAGTTCTATATTGGATACGTAAAAATGTAAATAAAGCAGGACGGTAAAGACTACGCAACAGTGTGTACATATCTAAAAAAAGCCGACACCTTGACAAAACACGAGGTCAATACACTCCACAATACAAGAGCCATGTGATAAAGCACTATAATATAACGATCTATGTGATGACTTTTATATTTAATAAACATTATGATAAGGAAACAAACTAATTATGTAAGAACATTAAGCTGTTTAGCGTATTTTTGTTGCACGCTAAGCATCTACATATACGTACATATACCATTCAAACTACTGTATGTCAATATTTTAATGATTCCAAAACCTAACATTTACATCAACAGATAAAGGCAATTAGTATTAACCAGTTATAAACTCATACATTCGATTCATTATGTTTGTGTTATTACTGGATAAAAGCGTATAATTTTTATTTCTTACCGAGCCATGACCCGATGTGAGGGGCCATGTATAAACAACAGGTTCCGCGCCTGCAGGAGAGTGCAAGCGTAAATCCAAAGCCATGATAGGATAACCGCTGCATTAATGCACACTCTTTTCACTTATACACTAAATTTATCACTATAAACAATTGATATTAACATAATTTCACTGCACTTTCACACACACACATTCTGAACTAGGCTGAGCGCCATGTTGAAAATAATACCAATCAAATCATGGCCGACATTTCAGTGTTGTCATTTTAATTAATGTGTCGTCATTGCTAACAATTCTGTTATTGTATATATATTTTTATAATAATTATTAAAACTTAAAATATTGACTATTGTATAAAAACAATCTATTGCATTGTTTTCCCTTTGAATAATCTACTTCTTGATAAAAAAGGGATTCAAAAAATAAAAAAACTATAATTTCATCAATAGAATACTATGTATGTGTATTTTTCGTATGGAACTATTATTTATTATATTTTTTTCTAGTTTGCTTCGATGATGTCCGTCTCATATTGTTTTAGGTAATTTAGTAATATTTCAAGGTAACAATTTACATGTGGAAGGTTGCAACCCTATGTTTCAGGTACTCCGTACTATTAATCAATTGAGGTTCAATAAGGTAGAAGATCTTCCTTAGTTTTTAACCGTTTAAAAAGTCTTAAAGATTTATAAATTAAAATTATAATACTTTAAATTTTTCGCACTTTACAGAAGCAACAAAAGCTTTCTTTAAGTAATAATGTCAGATTCAGAGGGTGAGATTTCTGCAGTTCAAGATTTTAAGGATATTGCCGATGAAATTCAGCGATGTAAGAAAAATCCTGAAACTGCCAATATGTTTGTGTCTGGCTGGGATGACGCAGATCAAGATGTGGAAGTAGTGAAAGATCCGAAAGGTTGTATATAGTAGAATTAGTTTATATATAAAGTTTTGTAAAGTTATAAACAACAGATGTTTATTATTATCAAATCATTTTTAATTTTAGAAAAATAATCGTATTCATTATGGTTTCAGCTGATCCTAATACACACATCCTTTGGGCTGCTGAACATGGGGAATTGGAGACTGTCAAAGAACTAGTAGCAAAACAACATGGCTTAATCCATGTCAAAGATGAAGATGGTTACACTCCATTACACAGGGCTGCATATAGCAATCATGTTAATGTAATATCATTTTTAATAAGTGTCGGTGCTAACATACATGCAAAAACAGAACTTGGTTGGACACCTTTACATTCCGCTTGTAACTGGAATAATTATGTGTCTGCTGCAAGATTGTTAGCTGCCGGAGCTGATCCTGCAGCCTCATCAGATGGAGGTATATAAATTCTATATTAAACAAGATTGATTGATGCTTTAATTATAGAAATAGGTTTTTTCTCTTAATTATTGTGTTTGTATGTTAAGTTATTATTATATTTTTCAGAACAAACACCCTTGCATCTGGCTTCAGCAATAAGTCACTGTAAATCAACTTTACTTATATTGCTTCTACGAGAAGATGCTGTAGAGATATACAGGCGACCCAACAGTTCTCAAGAAACTCCAGAACAGTTAGCCATTTCTCATGGAATCTATTCTCCATTGTTTGAGATGGCACTGCCCTCAGCTTCATATATTAGATCCATAGCTTTCACTAGCAATCCTTATGTCAGATCAGATAACAATAATTCATTGCGACTGTAAGACCTACAAATATTACACATTGAAGGTGTTAATTTTTATCAAAAGAAAATATTATTTTCTTGAATAGATTTTTTGAAAAGAAGTTATTCCTTCTAAATTACCAGTTGTACACAAGAAAATAAAATATTATAAAGTTAAAATCTTTTCTGTATAAATTATATTATACACATTTAAATAATGGAAGTCATGAAGTTACCATTTCTGAAAATTTCTAAAAACTTCGAAACAAAAATCATTAACATCATTGATAGTAGTTTATCTAAATAACTTAATTATTTTAAATATCATTTAAAATGATCGCAATTCTAAAATTAGGGATTATACCATGATTTTCTCTAGTTATCATTACTTATATTACCAGTTACATATTTGTTGGTGGGTTATTGGGTGAGAGGTCTACTGACTGCACAAGTGTATTTGATAATTTCGTTTAATAAGCAAAACTTGTATGAGAAAATATTTTTATGCCTGTAATTGCACAAAACATTTTGAGCTAGTTCAGTGATGTGAACTTCTTGCTGTCCAAGGCTGTAAATTTTTTCTATTATTGATAAGAAAAAATCTATACCATATAATGGTTCTGTACGATAATTTGAAATTTAATTTAAATTATGTTAATATGGTAATGGTATGTAAATGGTGATAAAACACATTACATCACATATGTGTTTTATTTTTAATGAAGGAAAGAAAATTATGTAATATATCTCATATTTAAAAGAAATTTTGAATAAATAACAATGTAGACAATTCATAAACATTTTTTTTTATTAGTAACTCAGTACTTTTTTTTCATTACAGATGGCTAAAGAAAACTGAATGATTGAGTATGATTTACTGTTGGATTGATGTAATTAAATGTTTTATATATCCTGGAGCAATTTCTAAAGATACCTGACTTCTTATCTCTTTTAAAGAGAGCCAAAATATAAGTATTTCTTAATATATATTAAAGATGTTTAATCATTGGCATGAGTAAGAAGGTGGTTTCTGAATTAGAACTTCTGATATAATCATTTTCGTAACTGTTTTCTGCGAATATTTTTGTGATGTGATTCCAGATTATTTACTTATTAGTTACTTTCAAATTATTAGGTTTCTGAGAGGATAGGTTATAATTAGGTTCCTTTTTAAATATTAGGAAGGGTAGTTACAGAGGTTATTTAATTGTATGGATAGTTGCAACATGACCAGAGAAATAACTCTGCTTTGTTAGAAAAATGACTAAGATTTGATTTTTTTTTGGGAAATATTTTGTTTCAGAAAATTATTATGAATACCACTGAATATGCCTTTTTGTTAATCGAAGGGAAGTAGAAATAAAATAGATACAAAATCATACTATGATGTTATAAGGATAATAATTAAACTAAAAAAATATTTTTGATAATATGTATTTACAGTTATAAGCCAAATTACATTAAGAGAATAATATAAACAAGCGAGTATATTAAAATGGAGTAATACAATGCATTTTTCATATAATATACTGCAAGTTACATACCTAAATAGCTTTAAGATATTGTTATAAATATTTTTAGGGAACTGACACTGAACAAAATATTTTATTTACAATATTTAAGATATATTCTAAAGTCTATAACTAATAATGAATTGTTTTAACGTGATAGTTTTGGAGTTAAATTTTCTAAGACGAACATAGCTCCAGACACAAGATAGGTTTCGTTGTGTAAATTCTTTAAATTTATTACAAGTGTTCTTTTATCAATTGTCTTTAGTTCAGTCAACGACTGCCTAGCTTGTGCCGTCATGTACGGTAGTAATAAGCAACCTAAGCCCAAACATTTACATCTTATACAATTTTTCCAAATTTCTATTAGGTCTTTATCTTTGATTACAGGACATACCGGCAATAAATTCAATGCATTTAGACATTTAGCTTTTTGACGATCAGTGATTGGGTAATCAGCACGTTGGAACGGTGATAGCATAATAGCTCTCCAAGCAGAATAGATCATATTGTCTGGTGGATTTTGAACTTTAAGTAGCAATGGTATCATTTCTTCAAACAGAGAAGCCCTCATTAAAACAGGAATAAGTTCTCGAATAATTTGGCTATCACCAAACTTATTAGCTAGTTCAGCTGCAATCTTCAAGCTCTCAATATTGTTACCAGAAACTTGCAATAGTTGATTTAGCGCTAATGTTTTATCCTGCAAAAATGTAGCAATGATCCATGGCACGTCAATTCGTTCAAGATGAACAATATAAAACAGTTCTATTAAAGATTTCCAAAGTACATTACGTTCTCGACGTGCTACTTTAACCGCTGTCTCCGGTTCAACAGCGCTCATTAAACACTGTAAAGCCCTCAATTTCTTACGTTTGTTATAATCACTTTCATCATCAAATGCTATTCTAGATAGATAAAACGCTCCCATTTTGGGACACGTGGCCTTTAGAATATATTTTGCGGTAATCAAGTCTTTCGGATCCAACCCGGGTGAGACATTGTTTTCTTTGTATGTTTTGTCAAGTATGCTTTCTAGTAGTTGTATTCTTATAGAACTGATATTAATATTATTTTTATCAGCAATTTCATTGGCTGCCCGGTTAATATCGTGGCGTGTAATTTTTTCGACAAATTTCGGGTGAAGATACAAGGCGTTAATCAACTGTACAGGCTCTGTTGAGAGCCGAATAAGTTCTTCGCACGCCCATTCAATCTTGTGTAAAACGTGACGGGTTGATAATGAAGAGTGAAGTTTTTCCATTTGTCGAACAGCACGATTGCCGGGTTGAAGAGTTGCCCAACGTTGTGAAAATTGATAACAAAGCTGTGCAGCTGCCACTTGATCAGCTCCTCTAGCACAACCTTGAAGAGCATAAAACAGACAAGCGCCTGCCCACTCCATATTCGCTATATGTCTTACGCACCGATGAGCGGTTCGCAGTAACGGTTCTTCTTGCGACGTCAAGCGCCAAGGCTCATCTTTTAAATCAGCTTCATTATTATCTGCTCTTTTCCGATTTGTCATAGTTTGTTTAACAGCGTTACTGCAAATCATATCCCTCGCCGTCTGTGAATCACCGTCCAGTGACAGTAATGAAACAATAGGCAGCCAAGACTCGTAAGTTTCTAAGGTTATTTCAGATTTTAAATTTGACCACATATCATCCCGCATGAAAAGGTGAAATGGTAAGCGATAATATCCTATCTCTGGAAAAATTCCTTTAATTGAGAAAAGTTCAAATTCGTATTGTTTAGGGACGCTTCTTCTTTGATATCCTTTAAGAAAGTTTAGTAAATAATATTTCTTTAAATATTTAGTGTCTGTTGGTGAACTGAAGACTAAGTGGTAGATGCATATATATATTTCATAAAAATAAGGATTAATAGACACGTGACAACCATGTACTAAAGCTTCACCGGTCTTCCATAAGTCGTTGAAAATTTTTCTTATTAAATCCTTGTCTTTTATACTGTGCCAAATAACAAAACATTGTGACATTAATTGCGTTTGATCATGCTCAGTGAGTATTTGACGATAGCCTAATTCGTTTTCATATATTTTGTACTTGAGATCCCAAGTTGACAATACACATATCAATAATAGAGAGAGTCCCTCATTTGGATTTATATTTAAAGTTTGACATAACTCTATGAGACGAGTGAAATTAATATTAGGATATCTTCGCAAAATATAGAAAAGTAGGATTTGTACGTCCCATGTTTCCTCGTTTTCTGGGAGAGCTACTTCAGATAAATTGATGTTAAACTTGGACTTTAGTATGTATTGTGGAGGATAAGACATACTATTTCCAGGTAAAATATCATCAATAGCAAAAATACGACGGATAGACGGAGAAGAAAGATAGTGCATCGCAGATGGTGAAAGAGAATCTGATTGGCCTTTAAGAAGTTCCAGAATCCACATTTTGTCTTCAAATGCCGTATTTCTAAGGGTAAGTAGAAAGGAAGTAATTAACACTTGATCCAGGTCTTGTAAGGAAACAATCTTAGCTAACATTCTTTTTGTAACCTTATCCCTCGCTTTAACAATCTTATCACATAACGTCGCATTGGTTCCAAGTGATTTTTGTATCATATTTGCAATTATTCTAAATATTATAAACTCTCCTTTAGAAGCAATATGCAAAAAATCTTCTACTGAAATCATTTGCGACGAAATAGTATAGATGTTGATCAAATCATTCAGGGCGTGGATTGTAGACATAGGTAAAAATATATATTGAAACTTCCAAGCAACTGAGAGGTTTTTAAGAATTGTACTTGCATTTATCAAGGCATTCAATTTTGAAAGACTTTTTAGTACTTCGTGAATGTTTTCTTCATTACAGTTTATGGAGACCTCTGACAGAATATTGTGGGATTCCAATAAAATGTTACTATTTTGTCCATCTTTATATTTGAGAAGGACGGATGTTTCATTTTCATCACATAACATTAAAGATTCAACATGCATCCGTATGGTTCGACTGGAAGATATTCCTTGTAATAAACGGATTAATTGGGATTTTCTTGATAAATCTTTACCAAGAAGTTGGGAAACGCACCTTCCGCGACCTAAACTGGATGATAATATTTCTTCATTATCTTTTAAACTTTGTAATGTGCTCTCCTTAAAACTGCTACTATTAATTTCATTTAAATTTAACTTGATGTTATACGAATTTTTGAGATGGTATAAATTTTCGATTGAATTGATTTGTATTATATTTAGAAGTTGTGTTCCTTTTAGAAAATCGATGTAATTTCTTTCCAATAGTTGATTCACTTTTCCATTGGCAATAATTTGTTCAAATTTTGTTAAAATTGCTTTTACGATCATTCTTTTATTACGATTATTAATATTCTTGAAATAAATCAGTGCTTTTTTCGTATCACAATCTTGAAGACATCTGTCTATATACAAAATACACGCATAACCAGTGTAGTTCGTTAGTATATTTGTGAATATTTCTAGGTCCTCCAAATCAACTGTTTGAGCACTTATGACCTTATGCAATACAAGCCTGTAATCTGTACACGTGAGGGGAAAATTGTATTTTTTTAAAATAACTTTAATTTTGGCATAGTTCAATTCCTTGTATATCTCTTGTGCAATTACACGATCGGATTCGGTAATAGTAAAATCTTTGTTCACTAAGGAAGCCGCTTCAGTAGCTATAGTGAGTACTGTGGTATCCCACGGTACGTCTAATATTTTTAGCACATTTAGTAAACAATTTAATTTGTTGCAAGGTGCTCTGAACGCACTCAGTAAGATCTTGAGGCGCGGTCCGTCGATGCTGCCGCCGCTGCTCGCAGCTTCACTCTCTATGAAAGATCTCAAAGTCTCATCCATGTCTAGTAAATGTCGTGAGACATATTTCGGCAAACTCTCAGACACAAACGCTTCCAAATCTTCTGTATAACAACGACGCAACATTATAAGAGCTATTTCCGAAGGACTCTGAGAGCTGAATTCACTGAGTAGCATGTTGATTTTGTATTTTTCTTTGAGTTCTGATATGTAAATTATATGATCCTGGAGTTTATCCAAATCATCGATAGAGATAGATCTTATATAAACAGTCCTGATGGAAGTCTCAAGTACTTCAATGATTGAAGCAAGAAACTTTAAACCAATTTTTGGCCAATAAGATGACTGCTCCAAGAGAAATATTCTATCAGTAGTCCACTTTACAAACAAATCAACATAAAAAACATTCTGTTCTAAAAGAGGTGGTACAAAATTACGAAACCATATTACAAGAGCACCAATTTTGATATTATATGGAATAGAATTTAATATTGCAACAACATCATCTGCAGTAAACGTTAATCTCATCTCTGAATATTTTAACCAACATATAGATGCTAAATCTAAATCCGATTTTGAAATAAATGTTATGCACAATTGTATGAAATTCATTTCAAATATATTGACATTATCGTAGCAACTGCCACCTCTAAAACAAATGTATTCAAGAAGATCACTCTTTATAACAATATCACATATTAAGTCGATTAAAGTTTTATCCTCTGTGAGGTTAATTCTTTTTTGTAGAGGAAACAAAATTGGTTTATATAACAAGTTATGGTTACAAAGCTTTGTGGCGACACTCACAAGGAACCTGTTCTCATCTATATTGTGAAACATCTGTTGTAGTTGCGGTAGTACATCAGCAGGCTTCGGGGTGTTTGTAATTATTTCATCGACAAAGTTGGTTAGTTGAAGTTTCAATAAATCATTTGATATTTTTGATTTATTGCCAATTGTCTCTTCTTCTTGTTGTTCTTCATGACACTCCAAAGATGCACTATAAAATTCCACCTGAAAAAATTACATTTATTTTATATATATATGACAGTATAGAAGCAAAGTATATATCCGCAGGTAATTAAGGCCTTCTATAATTACCTGGGTTGTCTGTTTGTTTTTGTCCTTTAAGACACAGATAAAATTAATGTTGAATTATAAACCTGTGTTTTAACAAATATAAATTAATCTTATAACTTAAAAACATTACCTCTCCATTTATCCATTTCAAGAAGTAGAATATTCCCTTATTAGCTGACAAAGGGTGATAATTAGAATTATTTTTATCAAATTGAAATACCAATTCAAAACTTTTATTCATCACCCACATTTTATTTGAATGGCTTAATACAATCATATCATCCCAATATCTAATGAAGTCTACGTTCACATTTGATTTTATAACATCAGTTAAGCCAGTGTGAGGGCATTTAAATATTAATTCATCTGATTTTATGTACAGAGGTTCATGGTGATCTTGAATTTTAGGTAAATATTTTGTTAAGGATACAGTAAGCTCTTCAATGTTCTTCTCTAAATCATCATTGTTTATTATAACATTGAGACATTCACCACTCTCACTTATTAATATTAAATCAGTACCTTGTTTTCTTAAATGTACTATATTGTAGTGTGCTTGGCTGTTATATATTATTTTAATTTTATGCCCATTATCAATATTTACGATGAATATTTCACCAGATTTTAATAGACACCAAACAAATTTATCTCTCACAATAAAATCTGAGATTTCATTCTCAAACAATAAAACAAAATTTTTATCTGAATCATTACTTTCATATAAATCCACAATATGTATATTCTTGCTGTTTTCAAGAAAAATAACTTTTGGAAAACATAATATAGCACGCAAATTGCTAAGTGGATTAGTATTTAATTTATGTAAACATGATATTGACACAACCATGATATTTCTACTAATTACTTAAGTTTAATTATCGTTTGAAAACTTAATTGATTTTGTTTTTGTAATTTTTCACTTTTCACTTTGCAACGAACTTTTAGAAGAACAGAAAACACTGAACAGTGAACGGATTTCGAAATTTAAAATAACTGACGTTATTTATTTAGGGTTACCATTACAGCTGTTACAGCTGTTTAATGTCTTCAACTTAAAAAAATCATAGTTTTAGTTATAATGATTAATAATTTCTATAATATAACGATATATATAATGAATAACATTTTCTGATATATTTAAAATAATGTATCACCATGGGCTCACTCATAATGTAAAATGACTATATTATTTTTTGCCAAAACCGGTACGTTTACACCGTTTTTTTAATACTCAAGGTCTTGTTTTTAGAGACTTTACGTTTTTTAGAGACGTAATGTTGCGCATCAGGTATTTAAGCGAAGCTTTGGGAGCATAGCGAGAAAAAAATAGTTAGTCCATGTTTTTGGAATCTATTCCCAGGTCGGATTTTCATATTTTGGGGCTGAAATTTTTTCACTGGCGTTCTAGATGTTTGAAATGTCCTGATTCACTGTGGAGGGTGGTGGCAATCTTCCCTTTTACAGATTTTTTATCCATGTACTGATAATTAGTTTTCTATGAATTGCTTTGCTTTCTCATATAGCTTCTTCTCCTATCTGTTTGAAGTGCTCGATAAAAACAAAAACAGGAAGATGTTGCCGGAGAACAAATGATATGATCCAACATAATTTTCTTTAGCTTTGTCAAGTCTGTAATCCTTGAGATGTCAGCCAGGAAGCTTATAGAAAGAATTAATTTTGTCTAGAAGATCACGATTCACGCTTCATTTTTTACGAGAAAAGCTGCTTCCCATTAAAAAACAAGTATTCTACACAATGCGAGAAGAAAAGGACCGCCAGATTTCCTCTTATTAGTTAAATCATCAAACAAGTGATGATGAATTAAGATTATAACATATTAAGCAAAATTAACACTTAGAGCATGTGATGAAAACTTCTTGACATTCTCATATCAGCATGCAAGTCATATTTTGTACAGGATTTGTAGTAATTTCAGAATGATCTGTCTTACAGCTCTTTAATCTCAAAAGATTGTCTGCATTCCCATTTGAAATTCCCATAATAACTAATGTAGTTATTATGTGAAATTTCAGTAGCCAAGTACATTGAAGTATTTCGCAGTAAAACTAGCTATCTGTAACAAGTACCTCTTCAATATCTAAAAAGGATATCAATGTTATTAACGGCGGTTTGAGCTGGTAGCAAAAGATAAGTGGTTTTTCCTTGGAAGTTCATTGATGGGTATCTACTGCTCTGTCGCCAAATTGAATTATTTGATGGTATAAAATTGACATCTTTTTTTATCAGATTAGAATTAAACAACTTACAGTCAAGTTTTATTTCCTTGGTGTAAAAAAATATTTATCGAGAAAATTTGTCTAATAATTTCTTTCCACTTATAAAGAATTTTTTAGGAAGAGAATTGGAATTGTTACAAAATAAAATTAATAAATTATTTAGAATGAATGAAGACACCCGAATAATATTTGGGGTTGTTTAAAGAAAAAATATATATTGAACTGTATTAAAACTTTATTTTTACTAGAAGGTACACGCATTTTAGTTGCCGTTGGTATATTAGTACAAAAAACTTTAATACTACTTAATTACAAATAAATAAAATATTTCAATTATAATATAATATGTATTAATCTATAAAACGTACATGAACATGGAACACAGTTAATATAACTGTGTTTACAGATAGAGATGTATTAAAACAAGTACAATAAAATACCATTATTACTCTCAGTTTTAAACTGATTGCTTAAAACTTTATACCACGTTTGATAACATCTAGTAAAATTAAAAAAAAACATTGTGTAACTTATTTATATGTTAGAAAATGGTTCACGTGCTAATTGTGTAGCCTAAATGTACTTAATATCCACAATAAGACACAGTTTAAGGCCTCAAATGGTATTATTGTGTAATACTCCTATTGATACCCTTAGTAAGATTTTGCACAATCAACATAAAAACCCATCAATTCATTATCCACCCATAAATCATTACACATGACAGTATCGTGGAATATAATTGAAGGAAAGATCTTTTATTTTAATGTTAATTATGCACAGTCCTCCTAAAGATATGTAGACACAGTACATAAAACGTACCTCCCTACATCTAATAACTAAATGTTACGAAAATGCAGTTACATGATATAACAACTTCCATACTTATTTTTAAATTTTAATAATAAACAATTTTCTTGTTACATATTACTATGAAATAACCAACTATGTATATCTTCTTAGCTGCATATACGATGTCAGAATTAGTCTGCAACATGGCTTGCGAAATCTTAGTATTTATAGTCTTTAACACAATAATTGAGAAACTGTCACTTGTCTTTATTGGATCACACGACACTGTAATCATTCGGTGGTGGGACAAGTTAGTGGATACCGTAGTCACGCAACTCTCTGTTGCCGAGTGGCAGAGTTGGTCTGTAGTTGTGAAGCAACTCCATAGCTTCTTCACCACACGATGCTTCACCACACCTAAGTTTCCTCATCAATGCCAACTGAAAACAATAAAATTTATCATATTCAATTATGCCGGTTCTCTAAATACACGTACCAAAATAAGGATACAACAGTTTCAGAAATTAAATGTTAGTAGAACCTCGTTGAATTGTTACTTTTATAGATTTGTAATTAATTTTTCAACCTTCATTGATAATGTGTAAGGTTAAACAGAACATCATGTAATTACGTTAGGTTGTTATGTTAAAATCCACACGATATAAATACTGGCAAATGTAACGTACAAAACAAGGCTGAATTATAAAGACTAGGAACCTTAGCAGCTTAAAAAAAATATTTAGACATTGATTTCTATTTAAACAATAACTGAAGGTAATTAAAATTTTTAGTCGTTCAACTGTATTTATAGGATTAAGACGATGACTTAAATCTAGTCACGTTATAAAATAAGTAGTTCTTTAATAGATGAAATAAATATATCAAATTTTAATACCCTAGTAAAAGATTTTGTACAAAGGGCGTAATACCAATATAACTTGAATTATTTATTTATGTATTACTTCTCCTAAGTTTTTACCTGTTCAGCGGAGACTTCTACGGGGTCTTTGAAGAGTATCCATGTGACAGATTCAGTACATGGGGGTGTGGTGAGAGAGCCAGGGTAGGTCCAGTAGGTGGTGCGGCGCGGTAGCAGATGAGAGGGGTCCAAGGGCTCTGAGAATGTCACCTTGTCTCCCTTGTGCATTATGTACGGTAGCAGTTTTACTACCTTATCCAGTTCCTCATGCTTCGAACCAACCTGAAACAAAAGAAGAAATATTTATTTTTTATCTCTAAGACTTTTGTACGACATACATATTAACGTTTATTATAAGCTAAATAAATAGAATGCTCTTCTATAACAGAACATTAGAATTAAAGAATAGTTTAGTACACATTATTGAGTTAATAAAAGAAACGTTTCGTCACACAGTGATTATCCGTGAGACAGAAAGGTTTTTCCTTGTTAATACAATTATTTTCCAATAAAGTGGAAAAGCAAAATCATGTAAATTATTTTTTAAAAGAATTGTATTTATAAATTACTAAGAAAAATTGTGAGGTTACGTAACAAATAATATCGTTGTCTGTATTTCAATATTTCGTATTTATTTTCCTAATTCTCGAAAATAGTTGAATCGGAATAGTTTAAATAAATATTAAATTAACCTTTGCATAGTTATATGATAAGTAATTAAAGAGTATGGAAATCTTCATAAGTTAAATTTAAGAATACTAATTCTAAATATTATCAAAGTTGTAATAGTGCACGCCACGTTTAAGTGAAAGTAGTTTACGGAAGGAGAGAGTGAATCCAAGTATGATTAATAACAAATTTGAAGGCTAACGCCCGCAGCGCATCCTAACCTCGTGTATATGGGATGAGACCGGGTCCGCGATCACACAAGTAAATTGACTGCATATGACGGATGTTCTCAATCAACGCGCTTCAGATGCATACAGCATAGAGCGTTGTATTTTAATGTTATGTACATATGTTATGTGTAACGTCAATTTCTTTATCAGATAAACTCTCATTTCGAAAGACACTAGCGCTGTATTATATAATGTCATAAGAATAAATATGACTTGTATAGACAATTTTACAACGATTTCTTATTCTCGGTCGCTGGGAACTAACGTGATATAAAACAAAAAAATATTCTAAAAGTATAATTATGACAGTATAAATATATAGGTACGTATTTCTTATAAAAGATAAGTCCAATCAAAAAGGTATTAATAATGTAATTGACGAACTATTAGCAACTACTTAATTCAAATGTTCCCTACGACTTATTATCCATTCAATAAAAACTTTGTTTTGTGATGTTTGCTTAAAAAAAAAAGGTGGTACGTCATTATTATTTACCGTTAAGAAGACTCCAAGTACTGCAAGTCCGTCTGGCTGGCCGGCAGCCTCTGTGAAACTATTGTACTTGGTCATGTTCCAGTGAACGAGATGCAATTCCCCGGAGAAAGAGCGTCCATCAACAGTATGCTCTGAACCTTCACCATTGACGGCGCCCCAGTGACAATGCCACTGCTGCAATTTGTATACATCTGATCCAAGAGGACCTCCTCGGAGTTCTGTAAAGAGATGAAACAATAATGAATAAAAAAAATCCAAATTAAATATAACTTGAAATTATAGAGATTGAATCACTATGGACGTAGAGAGTAACTCTAATAAGTAATATAAAAATCCATATACACATAATCAACCAATTACAATTTCTTTATTGAACATTTTTCTAATTATTATCCAATTCTAAATGACATTGTAAGAATAATTTGAGCAGATTTGGCACCAATGAACTTTTTTGTAAGTGAATAAATTATGTATATTTTTTATAATAGTTTTGATTCATAATTAAATTTTCACGGCAAGTTGTAAAAGTTGTCAATTATCATCGTTATGTTAAAAAAACATTAAAAGTACAATGTGAGAAAAAGTATATTTTAATTGTACTACCCGCAGCTCTCTATTTTTCCTAGTTTAAAGTTGTAGCTAAATCGAACAATATGTCCGTTAATTTTAACCAGTTTATGTAATTCAAATAAATTAGCAGAAAATCTGTTGTTTTCTGTTTACGTTAAATATCAATGAAAAACAAAAAAACTACCTGAGTGATATCCGTTTTCATCAACTCGCCAGCAGTATCCGGGATTGACTACAGATCTTGGGTGGTTGACTGAGTAGCGCCATACTAAGGGTGGAGCGCTACCACCACTGCCAGCGCGCGATGTGTCTATGTCCACTGGACTTTGACGGGCGCCGCGTGCTTCTGGAAACTTCTCAATCCATGTGGCTGGACCTATAAAGCAATGATTTTCATATATAGCATCAGCAACGAAAGTAAATAATAATATTTTGAATATATTGAATTAAAGTATTAATAAATGTGGTCTCTGAATTCGAATTTAAACATCGCTCGGGTTCAAAAACAAGATGATAAAACACAATAAATAGTTAAAGTCTGAATTATAATTTTATTAATAACTACTACATTAAACTATGTAAATATGTCATCATTATAGTTAGCCAGTTACCAAGAAATAGATGTAAAGGAAAACGAGTGTAAATAATTTACCAACTTCACTTATGCATATATACACATATATATAAATACAGATGTCATATCTTAGCGAAAAGGAAGCGTTCCTTTAAATGTTTACATATATTTTTATCTTTTTGCACGCACGCACGTTAGTACACAGTACCTAGCAAACAGTCTCAAAGTATAGCTTATGTTTAACATTACTATGTTGTTAAGTCTTTCGTGACATATTAGATCCTTTATCATAACAATAAATCCATTTGGATAACATGACACTATTATGTTTAGATAAATTCTTGACTAGATGAAGAGAAGGAAATGGGTGTGTCATTTTCTTAATAAAACAATAGCTAGAAGTTTGTGAAATGTTTGCGATGTACATTTTGTTGTCGACAGATGAGGCAGCTGTTAGTAAGAGAGTTAAACCACCAGCGTTGACAGCTTGACAAATTAGCATATTCCTTATCTGTTAACAATATGTGTGGACTATGGCCAATAAAACTTTCATAGTGATTAATTATCTAAAGTACCTTACTAATTAAAAATATGTGACGATCAGTTATTTTTAGTTCATGATGCCTTATTTTTTACATATTTATTTTTATGTGACTTCTTAAACGATGATATTGGATAAATTAAAAATAATAACATTGTCCACACTTTTCTAGCTTTTTAATTTTAGACTTCTTGTAGAAGTTGTCGAAAGATTGTATTTAAAGGACCAAATTAAAAATATATATCAAAAATTATCCAAATGATGATAGCAGAGATTTAAATATGCATAAATAAGAATTGTCTATATTTTCATATACATATATATAACATTTCGACATCTAAATTTGACTAACTGTACAATATATTATAATCCATCTTTTATCTCGTTTGAAAGTATTTTGTTTATTACAAAAAATGTTATTAAATTATTTTACAAAATGTTTTATTTTCTTTTCTTTTAATTTATCTTTTTTCTTATCATTGAAAATAATATGTTTAAGAAATTAAAAAAAATATATGGTTTGTATTTTAAAATAATATTTAACTACACTAAGACTATTAAGAATATTACTTATGAATAACAATTTAATGATCACATGATTCTAAACACAGGTTAATTATGTCCTGTCGTAGACTCTCTAATGATGCTAATTTTCTCATTAAATGTATAAGTGCTATAGCGATATTGATCGACGTCGGAAAAATAACAAGTCATATATATTGCCACATAAACATAAATAGTCCAATGTAAAAATTTACAGGCTTCGTCCATATTAGGTTAAAGTTAAGCCTACGAATTATTAATTTATTGCCAAAATACAATAATTGTAAATAACACTATACAAAATACTTAATAATAAAGTAATTTTAGCAAACTATTTTTAAAATAAAATGATGTTTCTAGAAGATAAAATAAGATACCAATAACTAAAAGCCAATTGAAAAGCGCCATAGTAAACAAATATTAAAATATTTTTCTTTATTATTCGTTTTGTTCCAAATCGTTGAGCGTAAATACTAAATTCATATATACATTAGTATATAGTTAATATATATAATAAGTATCCAATATAAAAAAATTGAGACACTGTTAAAATATTAGGTTTGTTGAGGGTTTGTTTTAGTAAAATAGTCATTAAGTTAAACAAAATGATTCACGGATTTAATCCTTATGATATTCAATCACCTGTACAAATAAGTGTTAGAGCGCTGTACTGTTCGTCATTCTGAGAATAACGTTCGTAATGATTATATGTATATTGAGGCAACAGCAATATATCACATATACAGATCGGGCCTTTCATCTCTGCACAAAATGGACTCGCAAAAACGAAATATGTTTTGTATAAAAGCGTTCATATTAATAGAATAAAGTTTTTGTTAACTATAACATTTTTTTATCTATATTCTGAATTTTGTTTTTGTGTTTGTAGATTAAGTTGATTGAGGAATAAACTAAATTAAATCACAATTATTATGGACGATGTAAAATGTTTGTTTTGCTTTTTTTTATTAAAAATATCATACTGAGTCTAGACTTTTAGAAAACTTATTTAAATTTTCTCTTAAGAGTCTATTAACACACAAATTAGTTTTGATAGGTGCGTAGTCACTACACCGACATGCAGTAAAAAGTCATCGACAAAGACAGATACTTTTTTGGCAGTCTATCCCGTGGAGAAAGGAACTTTCACTTGCATATGTACAAAAAAATAATTGTATATTAGGTTTCATTAAAAAAGAATAAAGCAATTAATATATTTCTTGAGTAAAAAGTATATGTCGTAATAGATATGAAGGTACTTATTCATAAACAAGTTTTTTTGTTGTTGTTTTAAACTTAATGCATTTAAAAGCGTAGTTATTCCTTCTCCAACTCAGGGTGATATTTTAATGTAATAAACTCTTTACTCATGTAGAGGATGGTTTTCCGAATTTATTCTGTGACATTGCCGACATTAGGGGCACTCAACCTTGCCACGTGAACACAATGATTAGGCATGTATCAAAAAGGCCACCGAATAATATTGAAATGAAAACGAAATGTAAATCATCTATTGTTATATCAAAAAATAATTCGAGTTTAAAAGTTTAATATTCAAATAGAAACAAAACACGTCATTTACCTAAATGTATTGTTTATCAACTCAAGTAACTGCGGGGCATTTTATTCAAAACACTCATTTTCCTTTATGCCAGCAATAGAAGATAGCTATAAAACCTTTTTGAAGGTTTTCATAAATATAATACCAATTTAAATATTACCATTTTGATAAATTTATGAATCGATATATATATATATCTATTTAACGTAAAAAAAATATAAATAAATAGGAATTTATTATTACTGAATGATTTAGATAAGGCATTGATTTTAAATGAATTTGTGTGAGTATCCTTCTATCGTTATCTAACCTAACGAAACAATGTTAACGCTGAGAGAGAGGCAACTGAATTATCACTGTAGTGACTAATGCAACAAGATAACACAAAAAAATAAGCAATAAAAACTTTTACAATCACTTCATTCACCATGTGCTTGTGATTCGGACAGAAATTACTGCAGATATACGTTGAGGTTGTAGAAGCATTTAGTTCTTATCAAAAGATTAGTATTTATAGCCTCTTTGTCTTCTCAAACAAAAATGTAAGGCGTACCAGTACGTTAAAGTAAAATATGTTTTCTTTCCTTATACATACTGCATTTGATATATAAATATATTACAACAAGATGTTAAAAAATATTCTTTTAAGAAACACTTAAAAGAATATTGAGAACATACTATTTGATATTTTCATTTAAATATCGATGATGACAATTCTTTGATAATTCTGCAGCTTGTTATATGAATTTGTTTTGATCAAGATTTTCTTCTTTCACATTTTCCTCAACTACGTCATAGGTTCATTAATAAAAAACATTGATCATGAAACACAACAATACAACTAAAACTGTGTGGGTGTGGCGAATAGTAATTTGATCAATGAAAGTTGTCTCCAGACATATATAACAAAATGTATTATGAATATATATAAATTATATATTTACTAACATTAATGATGCAACAATTGTGTTTTCCATTACTTTTGTCTTAGTGTGTTAGAAATAAATTTAAAACAGCCTATGCCTATAACCTTTCTGTTTTTTTGTAACTCTGTGATTAAAAATATGTTAAATAGTTTCATTAAATATAACTTTGCAGTATATATTCATGAAATGTTAATGGACCCTCGATTATAATCTTTAATCATTTGAAAACAAAACAAGTGTAAATTTTCAATAAGTATTAACACTGAATGTATTTATTGTAACAAGTATATTATAATTTGAAGGTCTCATTATCTATTGTATGCGAATATTCATCTACTTTGGAATTGAATCTATTAAATATAAAAACGTTTGTGGGCCAATCTATTATAGAACGCTTAATCGAAGCCTACATCCTCATCAAATACGTACTTTTGGAGTTAATCAGAGATATACAAGTATATACATACACTAAATAAACAGCCTTATATACGTATAAGCTTTTCTGAAGTGTGATAAATATAAAAATTAAATAACTTAAGTTTCTTGTTGGTGTTCAATGTTTTGTATAGATTTTGTTGTAACTTAAAAGATCTATTTAAAACAATAGTTTACATAAGTCAAATCGTACAATTTATGATTTCCTTGTCACGTTTTTAATTTTTTTTCCATTCCGAGTAATAAATTAATATCCCGATTATAAATAGCATTTACTTCGTCTTAATGATTTAAGATATTGTCAGACTTAATTTATTTATTAATTATTATTTAATGATTTAATTAAAATGTAAAATATGTCTACCTACTATTGATGACATATAACACATATATAAAGTTTAAACGATCTATGTCTATATATTATCTATATCTAAATTTTACAGTTAGTGAGGCCTCTTAGACTCGAGTCCAAGGTCACAATGACAACTCTTACAATAAAAGATGCAAGTGCACCGTCTCTGACTGTAATATTTGTTAACATTACTTTTAACATTCTAAATATATTTAACAATACATATATTGGATATTTTTTTATTAATAATATTAAAATCTTAAATAAAATCTCATTGCAACAACAATATTTGTTTTCGTTTTTTATTATTTTATTATTTCAAGAGAACTGTTAGTGACGAGGTCGGACAAAAATATTGTGCTATTGATCTGTCAGCGGTCATTTTATTAATTTAATTCGAATAAATAATCTATAAAAATCGACGTTGAAAACAGTTTGTTTGTTTTCAATATCCGACTTCAATAAGTTTTATAAGAAAAATAGGATATTTACTCTTTTACTGAGGATAACTCATAACGCTCCGAGTTCGTGACAATAAAGATATAGACCACAGTAACCTATTTACTTTAAGAGCAAAAAAAAAATCGTCCTTCACGCCACGTTAACTATGAGACTAGAAGAAAAACTATTGACAATTATAGCTTTGCGCTGTTTTGTACCGGATATTTCATTTGACAAACTTTTAATATCACGTACAAATATAAAATAATGTATTGAACAATTATAACAAAATAATACACAGATATGAAACGAAATAATTACATTACGTAGGTATTGGTTATACAAATGACATGACCATTTGTATCGAATGTGATGTTTTATTCATATCATATTTACATGAGCTACAGGTACGAGATATTCATATATCTTATATCTATTTATTGCCAAAAAAATATAATATTCTAGCTATTTTTGGACGTTTTTTATGTCCAAAATATTGTGTTAATTTACACAAAAACAAATTACACAATTAATGTAACACAAACGATGTTTACAAACGGATCTATCAATTTGACACGATTGCTAACAATCATATAATTAGTACACAATTAATAGTTTTTTCGAAGTAGCAATTTCCATTACATCTCAATTGTATGGGGGGATCTAAATTGAAGTGTTCATGTAAATATCCTGTTATCTTCTACTATTATTTTTACTAACGTATGTGACAAAAGAATATACGAGGTACTATTGTCACGAACCCATCTTAGTTATTACCCAGTCAATGTACATATTTCATTATTTTTAATGATTCATAAAAGTGAACCGAAAATGAACAAATAATGAATAGATGTCGCGTCATAGAATGATAAAGTAGCATTACATTTTTTAAATATCTATTAAAAATAAATCTATCCAAAGAATTCTGTTTATTAATTGTAAGGAGGTCTATTAAGTATAAGTATTATACATTAAGTGTTCATATTGATTACGTAAAAAATTGGACTTTGTATCATGTAACATGTGTATGGACTTTTTTTCACACATCGCGTATGAAAATATTAAAAAGACAATCTCATAAACGCAAACTACCTGAGAAAATATTAATCATAAATCTCGTCACGTAATATGTTACTCGGTAAAGTTGAAAATGATTTATAACAATGTAACATTGATTTCGCTTAAGCTATAGACTTCTTTATCTTGTTAAGTGCATTAAGATTAGATGCAGCGTCATCGTTGTTACAACTAAGATGGAGTTTACACTTTGTATTCAGTAGTAATTTAGGTTCAATTTATATATTACATATTTTAAAATGTACAATCAATTAACATTAAATTGATTGTCTCCTATTTTTCACATTAAAACATCCGACACAGTGTCATGAGGAAGTTTTATAAGTCATCCGTATTTATAAGATATTTCACGGAAGGAATTGATGTTTAATTAATTATTATAATAGCAATTTAGTTATATTAAAATTTGTTAAAAGTATTAATATTCCGTCAAATTTTTTTTTTTTTAATATTAAATTGTTTTATGGTTCGGATCATTATTATTTACTATGCTATAGCTTATTCAGTGGATAATTGTAATGTATGAATAATTTAGATTGTTATTCTTAGTATTGACACCGTATTTATACTGTTTACAAAACATTTAACACTTCAATAGACTCTATATTTTATTTGACCAAGTTAACGTATTTTCAAATATTGACGTTTTCACATATTGTGACAGGAAAATATGCTAATTTATAACGTCATTAATCATATTAAAAACCGTTTAAATACGTCACAATAAGCAACTAATCATTTGTTTACATACATAAGTTTTTAGTATAAGTTAACCCACTTATTTATAATAGGTACCATCACGTGCAACCATGTAAACAAAACCGGTTAGTTTCTTAGCGTTCTCATCTGTTTATCAGCGCTCTGAAGCCGGTCGTAACAGGTAAACTCACCATTTTCAACAGAATAGCCCCAATCTTGACTCGACATGGCAACCTGTGTCCGCAACACAAACGCTACTGTAACTGATACTGATAATCGCGTGAAAGTCGCCTGAATGTATGAGATGATGGTTGGGTCGTGACTGCGTGCGAGTTCGCGAGGGCTTGTCTTTATACGGGGTCAAGCCGGGGCGCGGAGGAGGCGAAGCGGGCGCGGAGGCGGAAGAGGTAGCGGAGTGATTCTCACACAGAACGAATCGTACGCGAGTGCCGCACGCGCGTACCTCCGAGTCACTGGCTGTTTACAATGCCGCGTGCGCCTCCTCTCAATACAACGCACACCGCTCTGCCCTCCCCCCTGTAGACGCTTTCTAATCAACAGTAATTACTTATTACAAACTTTACTCCATAATTTACCTATCAATAATTACCAGAGAGGAAATGTATTTGAAATATAGAACAAATTTCTCGTCCTGTAAGTACAGGTAAATTTAAATTATCTATTGCCAACACTGTAAAAAATCTAAACGTTTTTTAACGTACCTATTTCATTAAAAACTGTGTAAAGAAAAAAATATCAGAAGGTAAGATTTATATTCAAATAAAATTTGTTCAAAATAAAAGAAAAAGATCTCTCAGTGTTAAGATATAAAAACTCTAATATTTTTTCAAGTCAATGGTTAGAAAGATAAAGATAAGGTAAGTAATAAGCCATAACACGTGTGAAATCGCTCCGCTTGTGTTTAAATGATGAGGCGATCATGAAGGTGCATGAGGGCCCGAGACATAACGCATGAATATAGACCGATATAGACGTTTAACAGAAGCCCTGTTATCTCATTACTTATGTGTTTATTGAATTATAACTCTTTTACGCACATTCAATAGATCAATACAAATGAACTTCATTCTAAAGATATAAATAAACATAAGAATACTTAATGGCTGTAAATTATTGTAATGTAAATAGAGGTTCTTAATTTTAAAAGATATTAAAAGTAAATCAAAGTATTATAGTACATACATACGACAGTAAAAAGATTTCAACGCAATCATACTTAAAATTGCCATTTTAATTTGTCAAAAATAGATTTTCGCATGTACTAATAGGTAATTTAAAAATAAATAGTACTTTCTTTAAGGTAATAAAAAGATTTCTCACATGAATTTAATATAGGACTACTTATAATAAAAAATGGGAGAACGAGACTTATATAATATAAATCAGAGGCTTTTTATTGGAACAATATTTATTTTGTTTTTTAAAACATTGTAGACAAAAACGGTAAGCATATTGAAGTCATTGGCGTAGATCAAAAGGTCAGCGAAGGTCTTACAAAGCGGAAGACTGAAAGCGAGGCTGTACACTGTAGTGCAATGCTAAATTAAATTAAAAAAAAAAATGTATATTAATATAATTTCTCATATCACATGTACTGGATACTATTAAAGAAGACTTAGCTTTCCTGATTCTCAACTGAACTTTGGTATGAGTTAGTTGTGACAGTTAAATTTATACGTTCAATGATTAATTCTATTTTCTCCTGCATTATCTAGCGAGTGTAATAATCGCTTCTATTGCGATAACCTTTAAGATGACTCGGAAACTGTCTCGTATATAATACTATAACGACTGTTGTATAGATTTTATATATAAATATCACACTGATTATGCTCACATATAACATGTGTGCAGTGATAATAAAGTTGAAATTGAATCTGAACGTGTTTTTAAATTATAAAAGCTTCCTTGTCCTTTTGATTACGTAGTTAGCATTGATAACTATTAATATAAATCTTTCAATGCACATATCTATATGCTTTTATCATGTCTATAAGTAATTAACATCGGGATATAGGTTAAGTTCGAACTTAAATACTTTACATATGACACAATAAGAAGGTTAAATCATGTCATTTATACTCGTTTCTTTAAATTAAACTGTAGTTTTAATACTGCTATTGTATTTTTAGTGGTCATAATAGCTTATCTGCCACGCGGTAATTGTTTTTGATGTCATTTAAGAACAGACTGCGTACTAATGATACATTAATGTCATAATGTATGCGTCATATTAACATAATATTTTGCTCTCAGAGTTTTAAGCCAAGTACCATTATGGTCTTAGAATATTTAATTTTTATATAAATGAACTTAAATATTATATTGTTATCAAAAGTATAACAGAAAATGTTTCTTGAAATCAAATGGTTTTATACTGTTAATAAATTAAGTGGACATTTAATTCTAGTTATTCTATTTATAAATTAGATATCAAATGACTAATAAGAGTGCCGTGCATAAGACAACTAACTAACCTTAATATTAAAAAAATGTAGTTACTGCTATATACGTCGCTCTCATTTTATTAATTATAGATAAATTTGGAAAAATAAAGTATTATTTTTTGGTCATATGATTTAGAAATTTATGATTATTTGGGAAATTTCATGCACCTCACATTTCATCCACTTTTTTTGATAATAACTTAAGCTCGACAATTCTTAGAATCCCTTTCAGAAAGGATTACTCTTCTAATATAATAAATAGACAGGAAAAAAAGTGTTTCTACAAAGTGTTTTTTATAGAGAAACGAAATCCTTGAATTTCAGCAAAAGTTATACGTTTTTTTATTATTTTTATGAAGTAACGCGAAATCCTTTACCTATTTAGTTTTGTGATGTAAAATAATTTTGAAAATAGAAATTGAGAATTATTAATTAATAGGGGAGAGTCGGATATATCGTACCACTTTTCACTTTAACTCAAATATTTCGACTATAACACGTCTTATAATAATTAATACATATGTAAAATAAAGTTTCATATTTTAGCTTCCTAAGAAAAAGAGAACAGATCCTTGCGATTATTCTAACATTGTTAAAAATGCTTTTTTGTAGTGGCTTGCGATCGGTACGATTTAGCCGACTAGTCGTTTTAATCGTACCACTAAGTCTTTAAATCGTACCATGGGTGTTTAAGTCGTACCACTGAATGAAAGACATAAAAATTCTCAATCAAATTATTTATTTTTAACTCTTAGGTAAGTAATAAAACAACATTATTTATATCTTTTAGGTAATAGAAACATACTTTTTAACTCTTAGGTTATATAAAGGAACTATAAGCTTTCTCAGTAAAATAACATTATTATACTATGATAATGAGATCAATCAACATAACTAATAAAAATGAGACAAAAAAAAAAACAGTAAACTATAATAATAAAGTAACAGTAAACAAGAATGTTATTTATAATATAATTATTGTGCATATTTCTTAATGGAAACAATTATGACAAATGTCTGGATTCGAAGTACACGTCTCATGTAGCCACCGTTTACAGCGAACGCATTGAATCCAATCAACTTTTGGACCCTTCTTATCACAGTTAGAACAATTGCACTTTCCACATATATTTTCAAGACAATCATCGCTGTCATCATCATCATCTAGTTCTACAACAAGTGTCTCTCCTGAATCATAGCTACTCGTGATGAAATGAGATCGTTTCCTCTTATAACTTTTGTTTTTGGCCTTGGGTAGTACTTACTATACGTACTTGCAGTAGTACTATAGGTACTTGCGGTGGGTAGTCGGGTAAATCGTACCAGTACAATTTAACCAACTGCAAGTGGTACGATTAAACCAACTAAGGCATTTCTAAAACAAAAGCAAATATCCGGCATAAACTCAAAACTTAGACACGCAACAAAAACCTCCAATAATCTAGTATACAATTGTGGAATAATAAAAAAAACTGAATAACTATAGCTTACCTTGATTACGAGTTATCTCCTTACGAATGTACGACAATATTTATATTAATTCCTACAAAAAATGTTTTTCTTTTATTACGTGCCCAGTTGTTAACTCATGTCGATTTAAACTAGTGGGTGAAGAGGGATGGTGCAGGGCCACGATTTGGCGTTGTCTATGTAGAAAAAAATATTCATTAAATGGGAAATTTGGAAGTGGTACGATTTAAATTCTAGTACGATATAACCAACTCTCCCCTCAATCTGAATTTTTTAATTGCTTGAAGGGTTTTTAAAACCGTTACAAAATTCCTAACACTCTAAATTTGAAATGTTAATATCTCCGTACCTTGCTAGTCATAAATACATACATATATTTCTTTAGTTTCTTTATATTTCCATTTTTATAACTTATATGTTCTGCTTCAGCTAACTCGGGAGATTTATCTTTAATGATGAAGATATGAGAAAATTTCGCTTAATGTGTTTAACGTTTAATAACGTTTTAATAGGTTCCTGTTTAACGTTTACAAATCCAATTTATTTATTTTTTCTAGTTTATTTTATCCGTGTTTGTAATATCGAATAGCGGATAATATTATTATTGAATTAATATTCAAAATCTAAATAAAATAAATGTATATCATTTGTCCTAATATAGCTAAAAAAGGACCAACTGTCTTCTTTTTAAACTATATTATTGGTCAGAACGGATAACCACGGAGTAATTTTAGAACGTCGTACCGTCCAAAGCGATGCATTTAGTGTGAATGAACTCCCTAAGTATTTTAAAAGTAGGTGAATGCTACCTGTCAACCACTACTATTAACTAACTTAACGAACAAGTTCTTTTGATAGCTTAGAAATAGGGTTTAACACGCTACAAGTACTATGTCGAAGTTTGATAGCTTCAATTCTAATTTATTTCTCTGAAGTTTAAACAGAGATAAATGGTAATAATACCACGATCATGATTTGAATGTTACAACTTTAAAAATATTCTAAATCTAAAACACATCCTCATTACAAATGTAAGGCTTGTACAAATTAAGTAAGTTCGCAATACGAATATAAACTGGTCAAAAAGTATTTGAATGTATAAACTGGATGTTTTATGTGCCGTGATGTATCTATTTATGTATTTTGTTAGATGAATATTAATTTACCTTTACAGCTTTTGAAAAAAATATATAAATTGCAAAATTTACGGCCCAGAATAAAATTTACTTTGTGTTATTTTCAATTGAACGGTCATCGATTTAAATCTGATTTCATGAACATTTTTGGATACAGTCCAGATTATAAAGTGGCCAATGAAAAAAGCAGCTGAGTGCAAGGCACTTATGTACTTTTATGATGGTAATCATACTTTGTGGTTTCAAGCATGTTACTTACAAAAATATACCGATCAAGTTTATCTAAAAAAACACACATTTCACCCACATAATAACCTACGTATGATATCCAGAAATGTCCGGTTCTTCATCAGAGTTTTTTAATAAATGAGATTTAGGGAATGAGATTAAGGGAAATATGTTTTATCCTCTTATTTACTTTTAAACGATTTGTATTAACGTAGATGTAAGAACGTACATATATGTAATTTTTAGATTCCGTATCGCTATCAGCAAAATGTCTGTTATTGGATCACTTTATAGTGCGTTTGTCTGAACATTGTCCACTGAAGGAACTCGCGCAGGTATCTGACATAAACATCTAATAATAGTGTAAATAGCCATTACAACAGTGAATAAAAAAACCTCTAGTTTAACAAAATCTAAAAGCGATACGATACCATTTACGATTCAAATATGTATTTTGTCGTTTGCAATTTAATTTAAGCCTTTGTTGGATTGCTATTAAAATAAACTCAAAAATTCAAGAAATATTTCTCTAACTAAAATTTTGTAAATTCTTTAAAGGAATATATACATTTTGCCATTGGTAACCCAACTCAGATTTATATACTGATTTTTTTTAGCCAAGTTTGTAATAAGTATTACGAATTATATATGTGTATGTATATATATATTTTTTAAGAATCTTCAGTATTTTCATACAACTATCACTTAATACCTTTCAAATCTATTTTTGATTAAAAAACTCATAGATGTAAGTTAGGCTCGTTTTGGTATATTGGAGAATAGAATTACTATAACAAACATTATAACCAAAAGCAGAGAAAAAAAACAGGAAAAATACTGCTTGAAATTTAAAAATCTGCGTTACAGGACAAAAACAATAGAAATATTACAATATTTTAATCGTAACTGATTAGGTTTCACAGTTTTTTGTATGGTTCCGTTTACCGC